CTTCCGGAGAGGTACAGAGGCAGAAGCCGACTGATTTCCATCCTGTTTGTTCATTTGCTCTTTGCAGTGGGACCCTGGGCCCAGGCCCACCTCCCCCTGAACCAGCCCAGAGGATTCTACCTTTTTCAGCCCCAGACCAGCCAGTTCCCGGCAACTCCTCCAGCCCTGTCTTCCTTTGCCCCGGGGCTGAACAACTCCCTTGTTAGCGAATCCTATGTCTTAGGACCCCTTGGTAACTGCCCCTCCCTCCACCTGCCAATCCCAAAGTCCCCTCTACCTTCCTTGAGGCCTCCCCGAGATTCCTCCTCTCCTACACAACCACACGCTTCAACCAGCTCCTGGCAAAGTGTTGGGAACCCCAACACCGAAATACATGATCTTTGTTAAAGAACAGAATTCAGCGGAGTAAAGGTGACTGTTCATTCCTGTGTAGTAAGGTTCCAGCAAGGTTCCCGTATCTCCTCTTTGGGCCACAGCTAACCTTGGGTTCCTCTCCAACTCCTCCCCACACCTCTGTCCTACTTGGCTCCCCTCCTTTAACTCCTGAACCCTTTTCTCAGGCAGTTTCTCTAGGTGCCAGGCTTTCCCAAGTTCCTCACCCAACTTTTCAAATGACCCCCCCACCCCACCCCAGGACTGAAGACCAGTTAACCTTTTTTTTTTTTTGAGATCCCAGTGGGGAGGGGAAGTGTTGGGACAGAAGTTAGATTGCCAAGGCCTGACAAATAAAGATAAGAGGGTGTGCTGCCCCTCCCCCAGGAGACAAAGGAGAAAGTGGATGGAGAAGAGAAAACCTCAACTCCGTCAGCATAAGCACGGTGCCACCAGTTCGGTCCACACAATTGGGACACACACACACACACACACACACACCTTGGCCGGACCAGGAGATTTTGACCACCGCCCTCCTGACCCACCCGCACTGTCCCCAGCTGTCATAGCCACACACACCCACAATGCCCCAAGCTGCCTGCCTCCCCGTGACTCACTTCCTCTATAAGGGCTGCTGAGGTGTCCGGAGGCAGAGGACACCGCCAGGCACGCCTCCAGGCCTTCAGCCTGGGATTTAGGTACCTGGGCAGGCTTCTCGGACGGGCAAAAACATGGACCCCCGTTGTGGAAAGTGGGTCTTCCCAGATAAGGCTAGCTGCTGCAACACAGAAACCTGTTTGAGCAAAAAGAGTAGAGCTTGGCTAACACCTGAGCAGAGGGATTCAGGTGCCAGGAGTCCTGGGGGAGAAACATTTCCTTACAAGAGGAAAAGTCTGTGTTTTCTGAAACTATTCAATGTAAAGTATAGTCATGTGCCACATGATGATGGCTCCGTCAACGAGGGACCACATATAAAAAAGCTGTCCTGTAGCATTGTAACGGAGCTGAGAAATTCCTGTCACCCAGTGACTTCATAGCAGCCTTACATCCCCATAGTGCACATGTTGCAAAAATCCACAAGGCTGTGATTGAGGCGGCAAACAGCTTTAGCCTGGGTGTGAAGGAGGAAGACCCTGGGGAGCTCCTATGGCGGTTTCTGAGGAACTGATTAGTGAGAAGTTGTTGGGGCTGGAGCAGGGACACACAGCTGAAGACGTAAAAGAAAAGGAAACTGCAGGAGGAGGAAAGAGAACTCCCAAAATATTCAACCCAGGGTCTGGCAGGAGCTTCTGAAGACTTCAACAAGCTCCTAACAAAATTTTGAAAACGCCAACACCAAAATGCATTACCAGGTGCTTGTCCTCCTGTATTCCACTCAGAGGGACCCCACATCAGCCATGCCTTGCTCTGAGTGATGAAGAAAACACTGGGGAGAAATTAGGAGACCTAGATTCTGATGCCAACGCCGTGGCCTTGGGAAGTCGCTCAGCCCCCTTGGGTTAGTCACCAGAGGGTCATCTCTAAGATCGCCGGCGCTGAAATTCTAAACATCAGAGCATGGGGGTGGAAGGTGATTAGCAAACCTGAAAACAACCTCGATCTGCCCTGGAGTTGAACAAAACCAAACCAAGGGACCAAAGAAGCGAGAGTCCACCAAGTTTCAGTGGAGCAACCGTCAATGCATCACACATACTCCTCACTCCTGGGCAAGTGGGACGATGCTGCTTGGACACGACTGGCCTTCTGCCTGCCTTCTTCAAAGTCGGAGTTCCGCATGCAGGTCAGCCTGCAGTCCGTGCAGAGGTTTGGACTGGGGGACAAGAGCTCTCTCTTCCTTCATGGCCCCCTAAGCCGACTTGGGATGTATTCCCAGAAGAGACCCTGAAAGGCACAGAAAGCAGAAGGCTGTGTCGCCACTGTACTACGGTAAGCCAGCCTAGAAAGTCATCTGCCTGTGTCCTGAGGCCGGTCTCAGTGGGGCCCCTTGGGCGGATGTCCACCTGAGGCTCTGTCCCTGACCTGGCCTTCCTCCCGAGGCCTTCAGGAGGCTGCATTCCCCAATAAGGAAGCAATGAGGTTTTGGTAGCTTGTGGAACCAGAACCTCGGAGACTTCATGTAACCGCTAGGGGGCTCTCGGTCCTCGGTGGCTGCTGACGCCCTCTTGTGACCAGATGGGAGATTGGCAGGAAAGATTGGCAGAAGAGAGCCAAGGTTGGACTCCTAGGGAGACAAGTTAGTAACAGTTATCACTTTAAAATAACATTATAGCAATATTTATTCTTACATCGTAGTTAACATTTTGACATGTGTACTTACCAGTCTGTACCCAGCACTCTGCTAAAGGGCTTTACAGGTATTACTTTACTTAATTCACACATTCGCCTATAATATAAACCACTATTATTATCTCCATTTTGACGATGAGAAAACTAAGCACAGAAAGTTGAAGGTGGTTGCCACGGTCACACTGTAGACCAGAATTCTCAGTCTAAAGAGTCTGGCTTCAGAAATGTTAGGGGCAGAAATAGAATATTGGGGACTAGCTATTAAGTATCTGAAATATTCATCATACTCTGTGAACCATGATTGTTTCATTCTGATTAAAGAAACACGACCTGGCCAAAGCCGGTTTGGCTCAGTGGATAGAGCGTCGGTCTGCAGACTGAAGGGTCCCAGGTTCGATTCCAGCCAAGGGCATATGTCCAGGTTGCGGGCTCGATCCCCAGTAGGGGATGTGCAGGAGGCAGCCAATCAATGATTCTCTCTCATCATTGATGTTTCTATCTCTCTCTCCCTCTCCCTTCCTCTCTGAAATCAATAAA